AAGAATTGAAACTGAGTAACATCTGAAAGGAGAATATAAGCTTAGAAGCAATAAAAATCACAAAAAGTCAACAGATACATCTATATAAAGATTTTATGTTTGTAAGAAAATCAATTTCTTAAAAACAGAAAAGTTGTTAAAATATGGTAAATGGTTATGTTTAAAATTTAAATAGCCGAAAAGACCTCCACCTTCAGTATATAAATGGGCAAAGAACCTGAGTAAGCAAAGAGGAAATATATCTAGGTAATGAACATGGAAAAATGTTTAAGCTCACTGTTAATCGGGGGGAAAGGCTAATCACAAAGTATTAACTTTAAAGTATTGTTTTTACCTTATCAAATATCATTTTTTATTTTATTTTAAAGATTTTATTTATTTATCTGACAGAGAGAGACACAGCAAGAGAGGGAACACAAGCAGGGGAAGTGGGAGAGGGAGAAGCAGTCTTCCTGATGAGCAGGGAGCCCAATGTGGAGCTCGATCCCAGGACCCTGGGATCATGACCGGAGCCGAAGGCAGACGCTTAACGACTGAGCCACCCAGGCGCCCCTCAAATATCATTTTTTAAATGTTATTACACCCAATTCTGGCAAGGGTAGCATGAAAATGGTCCTCTCCTACGGTGCTGGTAAAATCATAATTTAGAACAACACTTTTGGGAAAAAAAAACTTTTACAAAAAACTCCTAGATTCCCAGTAATCTGACTCCTGGGAATCTGTCCCTAAAGAAATAACCTCAAAATACAAAAATATGGTAGGGGGGTGGGAGTGGGGAACGGGGCGGGGGGTCCATGGGGCAGGGCAGGGAGGCTGTATGGGTGAGATTTAGGGAACTATATAATCTAAAACACTTACTGACTGTTAATTAAATTAGCTCTAAGTAGGAATCAATTAATTATCCAAAAATTGGACAATGATAGAGCTATTAAATGGTAGTCAATCTTAAAAAACAATGGTTATGAAGACTGTGTAGCAATATGGAAAGTGAATATATAACATTAATTGAAAAAGGATTATCAAATTTTATGTGTAGGTATGGTATAATAACAACAATGTACACAATTTGTATATTCCAGGAGCGGGCCCCTCCCCCACCTCCATGGCTCTTCAGGTGCTCTTTTCTTGCTGGGGAGTCCCTTTCCTCCTCCATCTACCTGGATTTCTTTCCATCTCCACTCCCGTCGCTATACACCAAACTACTCTGGCCTCTCACTGTGACAATTAAAGCAGTCTCCTAGTTGGGCTCGTTGCCTTTAGTTTCTCTGCAGTCAAGTGATTTGATAGAAACAAATCAAATCGTATCACCCTCCCCAGAATCACTGGCTTCCAGAAAGTTAAGGATAAAGTCCTAAAATACTTAACATGCTAAAAATGTCATGCCTGATTTCCTGCATCATCTCAAACAACCTCTACCTCCACCCATTCTCTGAGCTCCAGCCACAAAGGCCTTTTCCTTCCTTCGTTCCTTCGTTCCTTCGTTCCTTCGTTCCTTCCTTCCCCCCTCCATCTCTCCCTCCCTCCCTTCCATCCTCCCTTCCTCTCTCTCTCTCTCCCTCCCTCCCTTCATCTCTTCCCCACCCACCCAAGACATTAAGCCCATTTGCTGCCCAGGGTTTCCCCCACTGACACACTGGACCTCCTTTTTTGGAATGGTGGCCTGCCTATATGACCTTGCCATACCCTTTGGCCACAGTGCTATGGGCAGCAGGATGCCCTCACCGGGTGTCTCTATTCTAGTCAATATCCCCCATCCTCCTGCTGCTTAACCACTTCCCTGGCCACCCCCATGGTTGAGGCCCCAGCATGCTCAACACCCAGCCAGCCCCATTCAGACACAGGACACCAGGGAGGCAGCTATTGTAACAGTCAAGGTGAGAGGTCACACGGGTCTGAACTAAGAAAAGGGCAACAAGAACAGAAGAGATCGCGAGCAGACCAGTGACCTGTGACTTCAGGTGGCCTCACTGAAGTGTGAATCCCAAGCCTCACAGCCATATTGTCAAGCCCAGGCTCAAATATGCAAGAAGGTAAATGAAAATTGGAACCATAGTAGTAAATTCTGGAAGCATAATATTACTTGCTCAACTGCTAATACCAATAGAACTGATTTCAGCCTGGGCAGACCAGCAGTCAAGGGTTTAGGCAAGTTCCCTAAAGTCTAGGACTATAACCCCACTTCACAGAGCCAGGACTCCTCTGGCCCCCGTGTCCAAGGTCCTTCTGTAGGCCAAGGAGGCAAAGGACGGGGGAAGAACATAGGCTTTGCTTTCGACAGCCCCGGATTTAAATCCTGGCTGTGCCACTTATCAGCTGTGAATCTGGGAAAGTAGCCTTAACCTCTCTGAAGCCCCTTTTCTTCCCTGTCGTGTACATGTGGAAGCAGAATAACCCAGTAAAGAATACAGAGTTTGAAATCTGACTGCCTGGGTTGAAATTCCTCTTTCCTCTATATACTATAGATGGAGCCTCTAAGCTTCGGAATCATATGGAAAAAATTGGGAATAATAATCACACATACCTCACGGGATTGTTGTGACGGTGAAGTAAGATACTGCAAGTGCTTAGCAAGTACAGGTTTTCCCCTACTCTCCAAAAAGTACAGCATTCCTACGAAACCTTTTGTAAACTGAAATGGGAGACAGTGAGTAAGCAATCACCATTCATTTATATGGAAAAATTTTTGAGCACTTTCTTAGGCTTTTCTGGGCACATCTTGCTGACACATACACAAAATCAACTGAAGTAAAGCATAGATGTTCCCAGGAGAGGAGACTGGGGGGGTCACTCTCACTACTTGGGGTGCGCAGCCTCTATAATGGCTCCCTGCGAAACAAATGCTGAATGCTATTTTCATTTTTTTTTGCCTTATTTTCATAAAAATGCAGATTTCTTTTGGTTAGAAAAAACAGGTACTAAGGTAGGTCTTTCACAAACGTCAAGTGTCATAACACAACTTTGAAAAGCAGGGGATATGCGCACTAACACCAGGAAGCACTCAACAGTCAGTGGCTATGATTATCATCATGGAAAGCATCGAGTGCCATGTTCGATACCCCTAAGGGGACTCGATACTTGTTAGTTCACCACCACCCTCTCTTGTCCCTGAGGCCAGCAGGATCCAAATGCCACCAAGTCTCTACCCCATTCTTAGGACACGTGGATTTCAACTCCACACGCCGTCATGGATCTGAGTGCAGGCGCACTACCCAGCAAGGCGATGTTCATGATCAAAAAGACATGGCTTCCTTCTTACAGGATCACTGCTCAGCTGGAAGACCGTTTATACCTGACATAACCCGGTCAATGCAGAGGAATCCTTTTCTGAAGATTTACTCACCCATAAAAAGTTCTCAAAGTACAGAACAATAGCGGCAAAGGTGTTATCAAAATGTGGCCTGGCAGAGTGAGCCTGAAAGGTGGGGACCAGCCAGCCACACCTGTGAAGACTCTAGGCCTCCCTGAGAACAGCATCCCCAGCAAAGCAGCCAGGGAGGTCAGGAGACAGCAACCCCCCCAGTGTGGCAGAGAACCAGAGGAGGAATAAAGAATTGGCAGCTCTAGGGGAGGAAAAGGGGACAGAGGGCACAAGGAGGTTTGAACAGGAGAGCAAAGACTATTATAACTCAGAGCACTGAGCGGCGGGGGGGGGGGGGGGGGGGGAAGCAGGTGTGGAAGGTATAGGAGAAAATACAAGGGCAGAGGAAGGGACCCCTGAGCCACTCTGCATGCAGATGAGGGACATTCCCCAAGTCTACACAAAGACCAAGTTCGGTTCCATTGACTGCTTCCAGAAACAAGGCTGCCATTTAAGGGCAAGGGCCACCATGGAAACGTCTAGGAGATCTAGACTCACATCGAGGGAGGGCCCCTCCATGAACCACAGCATGGGGCACCACTGCTCATGTCACGGTCTTGGATTTGATTTTAGCAGTGCTTATTCCAAGAGCATTCCATGGCAGCTGTAGGAAAAACCAGGGAAGGCTTGGCAGACCGCTCCCTTGAACTCCAGAGTCGATGTTGATGGAAGAGATTCTCAGCAGTGCCGGTGGGCCCAGGGGGCGCTTCACTCCCACTCACCTCAGTCGTCCTAGGGGTTAAGTAAAGAGGTGTGAACAGAGTGCATTTCATAAAAGTCTCCTACAAGTCATCAGACAAACAAGGGTTCCCTCGAGGGGTACTAGTGGAGCCCTCAGCCACCGTTCTTGGCTTCACCTCATTCGAGCGGGCCCAGGGAGCGGGCCTGGTGGCTCTAATTGTTTTTCATTCTGAGACTCACTTTTTTTAAGACAAAGGGGACTCCAGACCCTCCACTCTTCCTGCCCTGCTTTCTCTGGTGAATGTCGTTATTGGCATCACCTAGATAAATAGCCCATACTTCTGTGACTTTGTTTTAAATGTTCAATTTGGGGCCTTTTGACATCAATTCAAATCTTCGGGTGAAATACGCTTCAGAAAAACACATCGACTGTGGATAGACTAAAGATCAACTAGGGGGCTGATCCTTGGCAAAAAAAAAAAAAATACCCGACCTAGTGAGGACCAAGCCAGCCATTTTCCAGCCACTTCGGGCAGGGAGCCCAGAACGAAGGAGGGGGAAAAAAATGCTCATTCAGCTCAGCTGCCACAACATGGCTAATGTATTCACTGGAAGTGAAAATGTTTGGAGATTTAACAGCATCCGGTTTCACAGGTTCCCCTCCATAGTCCATTCTTTCCATCCCTTGCTTTTATCAATCTTTGGGACTTTCTTGTAGATTGGCACAGTTCAGACCCACCAAAAAGAAAGGTCTCAAGTGGTCACCCTTCATTCCTTGAAAAGAATTTTCCTGAGGCTAACACCCACTCAGGAATCCCATGGAATTCCACCAAAGCTGGGGGTGTGAAATGTATGCTGCTGCGTCCTTGTCCTACACCCAGCCTCAGCCCGTGCAGACAAAACTCCTGCCGAGGGGTAAACTGTACCAGTGCCGGGCTCACGGCCATCTCTCTTGACCTACCCACTCCTCGTCCTCCGCCCCGTCCCCCTGCTCTCGGGTCTCCGCTGTGGCTCCCATCGAAGACTTCTGGGCCATGATGTTGTCTGTCCAGGATGCCCCTGTCTTTCCATCACCAGCAAAATTACACTTGGTCACTGTTCCAGCCTCAAGTTTGGCTAATGACTCTGAAAGGAGGGAAGAAGTTGAATGGGCCATCTCCCTATTTTGGAAACATAGTGGGGGCTGGCCTGTTCTGCTGGGGTCTCCGAGGCCTGGGTTAAACCACTGTTCTCTCAGACCTGGGTGCCCTCGGGGAGGCCCTGAGTGTGATCCCCAAGGCACTAGATAGGAGGCCTTACCCACAGGAACCAGAGGATTGGGTGGCACCCCAGGATCCAGCGTGTCTAGGCTATTGGCCCCAGGGCACTTGTCCAGAGACTTAGAACTAAATCTCAGGACTAAGCAGACCTGGACTGCTCCCATGAGTTCTAAGCAGGAGGGAGAGAGGAGCCTCAAACAGGAGGCCAGGAGCCTCTACAGGCCATGGGGACATGCTCACCCAGGAAGGGGCCATCGCCTCGAGTTTTCAGCCGTACCCCGACCCCCAGCTCCAGCTCCATCGCCTCCATCTCTGACTCGGACATCCAGAACGCCACTGTCTGGGCGGGGGTAAGGCACTCCGTCAGCGCAAGCAGCTCTGGCTTTTGTACCAGTGCCTTCAGTGCCTCGGGCGTGAGTCTGTCCGTGTCCCCCATTGCTTCCACCTCTGTAGGCACACAGCACAAGAAGGTCGTTACTGCTGGAACAGCAAGCACGCAGGGGGGGTCTTTCAGGAGCCAGGTGAGGCCTGAGTGTTTCACATATTCATAACCACCTGAAGGTAGGGCTCTGCGACCCCACGGTGCCAGGGACTCACCGAGGGACTCCTAGCAGAGGAGTTACGGGTATGCGCTCTGGAGCCAGGCTGCCTGGTGCCGGTCTGTTTACAAGCCACGTGAGCTCGGGCAAGTGACTTAACCTCTCTGGGCCTGACAGATGGGGATAAAAACAGTACCTACCTGACAGGGCTGATGTGAGGTGTAAGTGAAGTAACACACGTAAAGCGCTCAGCACGGGGTCTGGCGCGTGGGAAACCCTCAATGCGTGTAACTATCTTCATTATTCCTTTTTGATACAGGAGAAAGTGAAGGCTTAGAGAGGTCAGGTGAGTTGCCCAAGGTCACACAGCTAGTCAGATCCTAGGAGGCAGGATCCCAACCCTCCACAGAATTCTGCCTTCCCACGGAGTCCCCAGGGATGAGCCAGGGTTCTCTCCAGGCTCTCAGGGTCTCCTGGCTGGGCTGGGGTCTGCTGGAATGAGCAGCAAACAGTGGTGATCCCCATACTCTCCCTTGGCCTGCTCATCCCCATCCTGGCAAAGCTCGGGGCTCAGGGAGGATTCCAATAGCCTCACCTGCCTGCCCCAAATGTCCCAAACCTGCTGATCCCGGGTTGGGGACCAGGGGGTGGGCAGCGGTGTCCCAGACTGAGAAGTGAGGACTTGCAGGGCCAGGAGGGCTCACAAGGCCCCGAGACCTCATGAAGGTGTGCACAGCCACCCCCCAGCTCAGCAACCCAAAACGGTCCTGCAGGTGGTCCTCTCCACACTAGCAGCCGGGGGCAGGGCTCTGCTGGAGAGCAGCCAGCCAGCCCATGGAGCCCACACCCCCTTCCGTCCAAGCTCTGTCAGGGATGCTTTCTGGGGTTCCCCAGATGCCTCACTCCCACCAAGGGCTTTTGAACTGACCCCTTCTGCTCAGCCCTTGCCCTGCTTAACGTCCCTCAGACAAGCCTCCTCACCTCCACTTCCCAAGATAGCAGAAGCCAGAGGTGGGGCTACTCACCCCCTGCCACCACCTGTCAATTTACCAATAAGCACATGAAACGTCTCCTCCTTCTCTTCTGTTTCTGTCTCAAAGGACCACGGGTCCCCCTCCCACCTCAAGCCAGTTTCTCCGTCTGGGCTCCAGATCCCACCCCCTCCCCCTTCTCGGGGACCTGGCTCTCCTTCTCCATACTGGATCTTTCCTTAATGCCCTCCTGAATTCTGGCTTTGACACCCACTACTTCAGACGTCCCCCACCCCGACTCCCACCGTGACCGGGGTCACTGGGAGCTTTTCATTGTGAGCCCACCGGAGGCTCCGCCCTCCCCACTTTACGGGGGCCCGAGAGAGCACCTGACCCCATTGCTGCCTCTCTCTCATACTCCACCCCCCTCCTTCACTGAGCCTCGGAGACACACAGGCTCCCCCTCTCCCTCAGCCCTCTGCAGGGGTCCCTTCTCCTGCCCCTTACAGGCTTCTTCCCTGTTCTCCTGTGGTTGCTCTTCCCCAAGATGGCCTCTTGGGCGACTCCATCCTCTTCTATAGCTTCAGTACCAGCAGTGTGTCATGACTCCTAAACATGTGCCTCCAGCCCAGCCTGATTCCTGGGTTCCAGAACTGTGTCCCCAAGGCCCCAGTGGACACTGACCTCTCCCCGGAAGTGAGACCACACGTCCCAGACAGAACTCTTCTCCCCACAATTGCAGCCAAGCTCAAACCCCAGGGTCGTCCCTGACTCCTCCCTCGCTCTCCCCGTCTCCAAACACTGAGGCCACTGGCCCTCCTCTGTCTCCAATCTGTCCAGTCTCTCCATCCTCACCGACAGGCCCTTAATCCGGCTATCACAGCCTCCTAACAGGCCAGCTGGAAAGAGGAATGCAGTCACCAAGGGCCTAAGAATCACATGGGAATTTGGGCAGGAAAATGGAGGCTCTGCACAAGGGCAGTGAGAGCCCAGAGCCGGGTACATGGACGACTCTGCCAGACTGCAGGAGGTGGAAGGCCAGCCAGGCCCTGGGGATTGAGGCGGGGCACTGGGGATCCTCTGAGTGAATGGGGGGGGGCAGGAAGGAGTCCAGCCAGGGGGCCCTCAGGCCAGACATGGGCTTCAAGGCCAACCACAACTAAGACACTCACTAGGGGCCATGAGACCCCTAGAGACACAGAAAGGCCACAGGGTCAGGAGGCCCTGAGGGAGGAAGGATGGAGGATACCTACTGTAGGATGACATGAGGAAGCCCGTGTTCACCTTCCTGGTGGCGCTGAAGTTGGGCTCGATTTCATTTCCCTTGGGGTCGAACTTCCGGCGATGGATGCGTCTGGGCCTGATGTATAGCACATAGTAGCGCTCCTGGGGCCGGAGAGAGAGTGAAGGGGGGGTGCTTCACTCCCCCCACCCTCCGACACACACACTTCCCACAGGGCTCCACTGCAAACCGCCCCGCCCAACCCCTCCCTCCACCCTGAATCCCACCTCAGCGCCAAAAGATATTCAAGCTGGGCAGATGCCGCCCCCGCCCCCGGGCCCAATATTCATTCATTCATCCAATCGTGTGCTTAGTACAGCAGCCGCCATACAAAATGAACCACGGAGACAGCCATGAGACGGCAGGCCCCGGGCCCGACCCTACGGTCTCCACCCAGCCAGAGACAGAAAACACAGACACAAAACCATAACCCAAGCACCAAGGACCCCAAATACTGTGACGCAGGAGTGAAAGAAGCCAACGTGTCATGGAAAGGACTGTGTAAGGGTTCTGAGTGAGGGCGGCCATTGTGCCTCTTCCAACACATGTGGGACCTGAGGCCAATACCTCCTAGCCTCAGTTTCCCCTGGGGCATGGGGACAACGTGCTGTCTACTTTCAGGAGTGCTGTAAAGGTTCAGTGAGAGGATAGAGGAGCAAGCACAGCGGGAGACACGGAGCAAGCTGTCCATGCTGTTTGCCAGCTACTCTAATCCAAGCAGGTGGACGACACGCTCCCAGAGACTGAAGAAGAGGAATCCACCTCCTAGGAGAAACAGAAAAGGCAAGGTCTCCAAGGCTGGAGAGACCTACGACTGCGGGGGGAAAAGGGTGTAGGGAGACTATTCAAAGCCTGGGACAGGTACAAAATCAAAGTCAAGGTCCCATGTGCATGTCTGAGCAACGCAGGGCACGCAGAGGCCTCGTGGGAGCCCAGGCTGTGAATGCAAGTAGGATCAGTTTGAGATGGGCCTTGAGCTGGTACTTGGAGTTTGGGCTTGATCTGGTCGACAAGAAGGAATCCCCAAAGGTTTCTCAGCAGCGGCGAGATCCTCAGAGATGCCTTTCGGAAAACAAGCTGGCTGCCGGGCAAGGACGGGCGCTGGGGGCAGCCAGAAGGAAGGAGGGGCAGGTGCAAGATTGACGAGGACAGGCGAAGTTCCTGAGGCCCATGTGAGGCCAGTGGAAAGAGGAAGGGAAGGGCCAGGGAAGGGCCAGTCAAGGGAGGAAGCCAAGAGGACCAGGCACGGCTGGCCTGGGGGAGAGGGGAGGAAGAGACAGTGGGGGTTTGCAGGCCTGTGACCAGCGGCTGGGAGGTCTATTGTCTTATCAGGAGGAAGGAGGAACTCAGAGGAGGCACGTTTGGGCCGGGCTTAGAGAGCCCCACATCAGGCTGGAGTTACTAGTGCCAGCTCTGCTGGGCAGGCTGGCTGGGGGCTCTGGATTGGTTGTCTACCCTGCTGACCTGCACACTAAGGAGGGGGTGGGCGAGCAGAGGCTCTCCCCCGGGCCGCAGAACAGCAACAGGCTCTGAATAGCACCAGGCCTCTGGCCTGCCTTGGGGGCAAGGAGATGAGCTCGGCCTTAGAGACCAAGGAGCTGAGGTGGTCCGCACACTAGGGTGGGGCTGTATGAAAGGGGGTGGAAATTCAGAACTAGTGCTCGGGAAAGCGACACGGGCAAGAAGCGCAGGTGTGTCTGTGCACGCCTGAGATGGCGGGGTGACAGACGGCATGACCCCAGGGGCGTGAGAGCGCAAGGGAAGAAGGCGTGAGGACACGGGAGGTGAAGCCCCCAGCAGGGTCCACAACGCAGACTGTAGGCTGGACAAAGGCCCTGCACACAGCAACCCACCTCCCACCCCAACGTCCCCGCCTGTATGCACGAGGAGGTCCCAGAAACCCAAAGTGCCCAGCCACATACAGTGGTATTCAAAGACGAGCGAGCCCGTGCCAAGAGATTCACCACTTTGCAAAGGGAGAACTTCAAGGCTCCTTCTAAAAGCAAATTCCACCAGTACATTTAAAATAATGCAATTCCAAAGAATTCCAAGGACATGAGACCTCCCAGGAACAGACCTGGTACCTAGAAAAGGGAAGGTCACTGGCTGACCCTGTCATACCCGCACAGGCCGCTAACCCGCTCTGACCTTGTCCATCAGGCCCTCGGGCAGTGGGAACCACCAGACCAGAAGCCAGGAATCTGGGCTGTTGGCCCTCCCAGAATAAAGAGCCATTCTTCCTGCCCATCCAGCAAGGCTCCCAGCACTCTAACAGAAAGCAACAGGACCTCTTCACAGTGCCTTCCAGCTCACACGCAGCCTCAGCCCCAAACCAGTCACCTCACTCCTTCTGCTCTCACCTCCCAATCCCAGCCCCAAACACGCCACTGGGGTTAGGGCCGGTCTGTCTTGTCAGCAAGAACCCAGGTCCTGCCCTCTGTCCTCCACCCAGCACAGTCCCAGTTGACCCCTTCCCACCCAGTGGCCCCTTTAGGCTGCTATTTCCCCACCCACCCCCCACCTGCCCTACAAGGCCCTCCAGGAATGAGCTGTACCCCAAGTCTGGGCACTGGCAGAGCCAAGCACAGGGAGATGGCTTGGTGGCTGAGGACCGGGAAGCCAGTGCCCTGCGGGTGTCCCCGGGGAGGCATCCTCACCTTCCTGTCATGGGCATCCAAGATGCTGTGGCGAGACACATCTACCAGTTCTCCCTCCAGCAGGACGCCGTTTCCCCTGGGGATGTGAGAGAAAGAAGGGATCCGCTGCTTCTGTCAGTCCTCAGGGAAGAACCACAAGTTCAACGGCCCAGGCCAGAGTCTGCACTGGGACAGAAGCGGGGCCCACAAGCACCTGCTAGTCGCCTGGCTGCCCCCCCACCCCCCGACCCCGGCCGCCCAGCGGGCCTGGTACTATTTTCTTTGCGCTCCTCACATGGGGCCTCCATTCCTCCAAGGGTCCCAAAGACTGGGGCACTGCACAAAGGGTAGGGGGAACCGCCTCAGGCTGCAAGACCAAGCTGTGGCCCCTCCCACAAGGGCTCACTATAAGCAGAGCCTCAGTCTTCTTATCTACAGAATGGGAGAATAACAGCCACCTCACTCTGCTTCTGTGATGATGACAGCATAAATCGTGTAAGTGAAGGTGTTTGTAAACTATTATATGCTTACTAAATATAAAGGATTTTACTTTTTTATTTAGCCAAACTTGAGGGAGGGGTCTAAGGTGCTATAAAGTATCTTCCTTTTTCACCTGGTTTTTTTTCCACCTGTTTTAAAACATTTTCTATTCTTCTCCTCATTCATACCCACTTAGAGGTGGGAAAACCCAAACTTACAAGTTTTATGACTAGCCCAAGATCGCCGGGTCCCTCGCCGAGAGGAACTAGATCCCCGCTTCCCGCTCCTAGTTCTCATAAAAAGCAGAACCGGAGGCTTCCCTTTTTAGAGCCACAGAAATGAGAGAGGGGTGGGGACAAGAAAGGATGGGGATGAAAATGGAAACTCGCTCTACTTTACTTACCCTACCCACCGCCTCACCTCCAAATTCTTGCGTTTCTAACCAAATGGAGTGGTCCATTTGTTCTCATAACGTCCCTGCGACAGCCACCCCCCCACCCCGAGCCCACACGCGCCTCCAGGCAGGCACTGCCCTCCCACGGCCACGGCAAGCCAACTGCCCCGCGCTGTTGGGGTCACTGCACGACGTCCTCCCTTCCGGGGCGGGAAGCGGGGCGGCCTGTGCCAAGGCCCGCGGGCAGGGCGCCGAGGCAAGTGGCTGGAGTCCATAGTCGCGGCTGGGGAGGGGTTGAGACAAAGGTCGGTGCTCTTGAGCTCCGTGTAGGCGTCGGGAAGGGTACGGGGGGGGGGGCAGTGGGTAGATTTAAGCCCATCTGTGTTTTTCGGGGGTGCGCTCCGGCTGCAGGGCGCAGGGGAGCGTTGAGGTGCGGGATGGTAGCCGTGGCCAGGGCGGCCTTCCCTCCCAACCGCACCCGGACCGCGGTCCCCTCCCCAATCCCGGAGCCGGGGTTCCAAGCCGGGGCCGGAGGGCCGGCCCTGGGGGTCGGAGAGGCGGGGGCAGAGCACGGCGGGCCTACCCCTGGTGGGCGGCGGGGTCCCAGGCCCCCGGCAGCCGCGCGCTCCGCACCGCCTTGTTCCGGAGGGCGCAGTCGTGGTAGATGCGGCTCATGATGCGCACGGCCGCTGCGCCCGCAGGCCTGGCGCTGGTCGGCGGCGCGCGGGGTCTCGGGCTGGGCGCGGGGGACGCGGGGGGCGCGCGCCGGGCAGTGATTCCCAGGCGCGGATCCGGGAAGGGCGCGGTCCGGGCCTGCCCGGTCGGGATTTAAAGGGGCCGAGCTCCATTCCTGCCGCGGGACGGCGCGCGCGGGGAGGTGGGCTTCCGGGAACACCCGCAGTTGGGGCCTCATTGTGGGCGGGGGGGAGCCAAGTTCTCCCCTTTCCCTCCCTTTCTTGTTACTAGAGGGAGACCCCCGCCGCAACACACGCCCAAAGGGGAAATTGAGGCCCAGAGATCCTACAGGATCCACTCTGGAAGGAGCAGGAATGGAGAAAAGGGAACAGTCTTCAGGGATGGCGGGGTGGTCCGCACAGAAGCTGCTCTTTATGCTCTGCCCAAGGTCCCACAGTGGCTGAGGAAGGGGTTCCAGGGATCTGTGCCTAGGCTTGGGTGTCAGATCAAGGACTTACTAAGGTTTAAATCCCAGCTGTGTGAGTATGAGCAAGTGTCTCAACCTCTCTGAACCCATGCTTCCTCCTCTATGGGGTCAGTATCAGAGGGGTGGTAACGATTCATAAACTCACTGTAGAACATAGCATTTCCCCTCTCTGCCTTTCTCACACAGTTCTTGAACCCCTCCCCAGCTCCCTACCGCCCTTTGCCCAAGTATGTAACAGTGTAGAGGGGCGTTTTCCAAGCCTGGGTGCAGGAGTCTGTTCTGACCCTGGGTTTGTTGGAGAACCTTGGTTCTCTCGGACCCATCTGTGGCCTCTGCGGGAGCATTCAAAGGGGAGGTGGCCATTTAGAAACCTGGGAGTCCAAGATGAACTGTCAGTGGTAGAAGAAGCACCCTCTCCCCACACACACATTAAGACTTGGTGGTCCCACACACTTGTTTTCAAGGGTTCCTTCCTTGATTAAAAAATTTTTTTTAAATTATATTTTATGGGTGGGTTGACATAAAGATGAATACATTAATATTATATATTAAAACATTTTCTTCAGCCTAAAAATTCTTTTCTTCTTCTAATTTTTTAAAGAAATTAAAATTAAAATTAACATTTTCATGGGTCCTAGCCATTGTGTCAAATGGCTTAGTTACCTCCCCTCCTCCCTCCTCAGTCTGGCCTACCTGGCTGTCCCAGAAAGTCTGAGAGAGAAAGACAAGAGCCCTAGTGGGCTTTGAGCAGAACTATCTTTGGGCTTTCTCTCTTCAAAATTCCCCTGGTTGATATAAGGAACTCCTACAACTTAATAGCAAAAAACAACAACAACAACAACAAATAATCTGATTTAAAAATGGGCAAAGGAACTATACAGATATTTCTCCAAATAAGAAATACACATGGCCAACAGGTACGTGAAAAGCTGCTCAACATCACTAATCAGGGAAATGCAAACCAAAACCACAATGAGATATCATCTCACACCTGTTAGGATGGCTAGTATCAAAAAGACGAAAGATAAGTATTAGTGAGGATGTAGAGAAAAGGGAACATTGGTACACTGTTGGTAGAAATGTAAACTGGTGCAGCCACTGTGGAAAACGATATGGAACTTTCTCAAGAAATTAAAAATAGAACCACCATATTATCCAGCAATCACACTTCTGGGTATACATCCAAAGGAACTGAAACCAGGATCTCAAAAGGGATGCCTGCCCTCCTATGTTCCTTGCAGTGTTGTTTACAATAGCCAAGACATGGAAGCACTCTAAATGTTCATCAATGGGTGGATGGGGGAGGAAATGTGGTATATACATACAATGGAATATTATTCAACCTTTAAAAAAAAAAGGAAGGAAGTCCTGCCATTTGTAACAACAAGGATGAGCCTGAAAGTGAAAGAAACCAGACACGGGAAGACAAATACTGCATGATCTCATTTACATGGGGAATCTAAAATAGTCAAACTCACAGAAGCAGAGAATAGAATGGTGGTTGTCAGGGGCTGGAGGGAGGGGGAAATGGGGAGGTAGAAGTCAACGGGGTACAAAGTTTCAGGAATACAAGATGAATAAAGACCTAGAGATCTACTGTACAGTATAGTGCCTATAGTTAATATTGATTTATATACTTAAAAATTTGCTAAGAGGGTAAATCTTTTTTTAAATTTTTTTTAAAGATTTTATTTATTTATTTGAGAGAGAGAGAGCCCATAAGCAAGGAGAGGGGCAGAGGGAGAGGGAGAAGCAGATTCCTCGCTGAGCATGGAGCCCAATGCAGGACTCGATCTCGGGACCCTGGGATCGTGACCTGAGCCGAAGGCACACGATTAACCAACTGAGCTACCCAAGCACCCGTAAGAGGGTAAATCTCATGTTAAGTGTTCTTATCACACACATAAAATAATAATAGTAATAAATAAACTTTTGGAGGCAATAGGTATGTTTATGGCATAGATTTTGGTGATGGTTTTTGGGGTGTGTACTTATCTCCAAACTCATCAAGTTGTATACATTAAATATGTACAGTGATTTGTATGTCAATTGTGCCTCAATAAAATGGTTTGAAAAACAAACAAAAAACCCCAGGCTGGTTGCAACCACGTGGCTGGTGTGCCCCCCTACTTCCTCCCCTTTCTGTCAATTTCCTGCTCCAATGGCTTCAAATCTCCACTGCCTTATGTGGCAGCTACTGGGTACATGTGGCTATTTTAATTTTAGTTTTAATTAATTAAACCTAAGTAAACTTCAATTATTCCGTCTCACCAGCCACATTTCAAGGGCTTCATAGCTAGCAACATGGGGCTCATGGCTGCCATTTTGGACAGTACAGACACAGGACACTTCCATCATTGCAGAAAGTTCTATGGGACAGCACTGCTGTAAAGCCTTTTCTGGGAAGAGTAATCCCTTGCTTACTGGGCTCTATGACTTCACCGCATCAGTACAACTGGTAGACCAGGCGCCGGCAACACAGGAAGCTAAAAGAACAAGAAAACATTTTTTTAAAGGTTTTGATATTTATTTCCTAAAGAGCCACCAGTCATCATGGGGAAAAGACCAGAACTTTGTTGGACTTCCTTATACCTATTTGTAGGTTACTGATGTTTCTATATTAAATTATAAACCATGAGGTACAACATGGAGACACCTTAAGCTTTGGGCCCCTCAGTTCAACGGCCCCTTTTGAGGACAGGGTTGAGGATCCCAAACAATTATGTTTATACGGGCATATGCTTTTATAAAATTTTCACGGGTGGGGCAGTTTTTGGTATAGTCACTTCAGACCAATATCTTTTGTTTTGTTTTGTTTTGGCCTGAATTTTCCGTTGCCTCACATCAGATGATATTGCAATGGACCTGAATGAGAGAACAGTTGACATGAGATACATTCAGTTTGGGCTTTGTGGGATGACAGATTTATGGGGTCTGTAGTCTTTCCTACTATCATTCCGTTTTTGCAAGCTGTCCTGGTATAGGAGGGCCCTACCAGCCTCTGTGCTGACTCACCTAGGGGAGGGCTCAAAGGTGCAGGACAAGGGGTCCCATCACAGTAGAAATGTGTGCTGCAGCGCCTGGCACTGAGACTGCGTGGGGAGAGGACAAGGAACAAACTGTGGAACATAAGGAACCAGAAGCCTGGTGTGTAAAACCATAAGCAGGGGGTTGGTTCTTATTAACCCTAGTCAAAATGGATGTTTACTCAGGAATGTTCTCGCTAAAGCCGCACATGTCATTGTAAACCCACCAACCTTTTTTTTCCTCTTTTGGTGTGCATGGGACAAAACTGAATTTACCAGGATTTCTGTAGAGCAGAAACAGACAACAGTAACACCAACAAGAAGTGCCTGTGTGTGTAGTCTCAGGTTTTATGCCTCACAACACATCTTAGCGTATCTGACACATCTTGTCTTGACAAAGTCTGCTGGTTCCGGAAGAAAGAGAGGGCCAAATTGCCACAAATGCAGTGAAATCACCTGAAGAAAACACACATACACACCGCAGAGCAAAAGATGCAAAACAAAGGAAGCAGTGAAGAGAGCAAGCATAATATAAAATAAGATGCCAGAAGGAGAGCTAAAGCTATCCATCATATTACATCAATAAATGCAAATAGGACAAGCCTTGTTGGGAAAGAAAATCTATGATATGCCTTTGTAGCAGACATCTCTTCACGCCACGTCAGAACCTCTGGTCCTCACATGCCTCCGGGGCCTTTGACCCGTCCTATCCCAGCCCCTCAGTGACGACCAACCCTGCCTACTTCACACAGAAACAATCCTCCACGCCTCACCTCGCGGCCACACCTCAACACTTGCCCCCGAAGACAATTGGTCCCAAGGGTGGCCCTTTAAAAGAAGACCTTCAGCGTAGGATTGTGAATTACCTGTTGGTCTGATGGCAATAAGGACACTTGCTATGGAAAGTGGGTGGTGGTTGCCCTCGGCACAGAGAGGCATCGAAATTCCTGAGGTTTTCATCTGTGGTTAAATGGGGTGAGGTGCAGGTGGGAGGTGACATTCAGCTGGGAGATGGAATGGCTGTAGCCTGTGATGGGTCTTGGGGGCAATGATAATTATGAGACTTGTGGAATAGGCCAACTTTTTATGAACAGCAATGGAAAGCCTGATGGAAAGAAGATGATGGGCTCAGGGTAGACCACAGCCAACCTCAGGATACGCCATGGGGAGCTATAGGGCAGTTTTTAAGGAGACTCTCATCTCCTGTGGCTCCAGGGCAAACTGCTCTGCAGTCAGGCTCTGCAGCTGATTGTAAGGGTGACAGAGCGGCTTGTTCTGTTCCAGCTGTTGCTGGGATGACAGAACTTCCGTGCTTCAGCTCACTTCGTGCGGGTACAACCCAGCGGTGCCTTGAGCCCTCCCCAGTGCGTGTCTCCTGCTTTTGCCCTGAGGCATCCACGTTGATGCTGAAGCACTGATGCCCCCTCTGGGCACCAACCTTGCACAACCCCAAATGCAGGGGAGTTAACACCTTGGAGAGAACATTTGAGAACGTGGGGGATGGAAGCTGCCAAGTAAATTCTTTCTCCTTTCTCTCCCTGTACAGACTGTGATGAAAAATAGCTGAAAAGGCA